TGTTCTTACTCAGCTTCTGATTGTTCTTACTCAGCTTCTGATTGTTCACTCTCAGCTTCTGATTGTTCACTCTCATCTTCTGACTGTTCACTTTTATCTTCTGATTGTTCACTCTCAGCTTCTGACTGTTCACTTTTATCTTCTGATTGTTCACTCTCAGCTTCTGACTGTTCACTCTTATCTTCTGACTGTTCACTATTAGCTTCTGACTGTTCACTCTCAGCTTCTGACTGTTCACTCTCAACTTCTGGTTGTTAACACTCAACTTCTGGTTGTTAACACTCAACTTCTGATTGTTCACTCTCAGCTTCTGATTGTTCACTCTCAGCTTCTGATTGTTCACTCTCAGCTTCTGGTTGTTCACTCTTAGCTTCTGATTGTTCACACTCAGCTTCTGGTTGTTCACTCTCAATAATTAATTAAAAAAACAAATTCAAGATGGCCACCAAAGCTCAATTTAAATGGCTTTACCTCAGCTATTCTTACACGTAGAGCAGAAATTTGGTGTGGTTATAGCTGAGAACCTTCCCCATCACACATTGAATCCAAATCAAAAATCCAAGATGGCCACCATAGCTAAAAAGAAAAAATTACTAACTCATTGATATTTTACCATTTTAAGCTGAAATTTGGTTTCTTGGTAGCTGAGAGCGAACCTACTGAACCTACTACACTGATGTAGCAACGTGCATGGGGAGTTGGTATTAGCTAACGTAGACGTCTTTCACACCAGGATGATGCTCTAAGTGTGAAAACTGACTGATGTAAAAACTTAGGCTAGCCTAAGGAGAGCCAGACTGGATATCAACCTAGCCTGGATGAAGCCTCTTTAGTACGTCCTCTGTGCTCTGACAGGCTGAGAAGGTTCTGTTGGACAACACATCCGTCATAAATGAGTGAAATGAACCTTTCATCTGGTTTGTCTTTCCTGCAGAGATTGTAGATGGGAACGCTAAGATGACCCTGGGGATGATCTGGACCATCATTCTCCGCTTCGCCATCCAGGACATTTCTGTGGAAGGTCTGAACACTCGGCTCTCACAGGCTTGTTAGCCTGCTGATGTTCGGCAGCTTTGATTGGTTTTAATACTGAAATGTTTTAGAGTATTTTAATTTACACTGCCGAATCCAAAACCCAGCTTTGTTTGAGGTCGAGGCACACCTGCCGCTTCTCCTCCACCTAATCCCACATGAAACCAGGATTAGTTCAGTCAAAGGAAACATTAATCCTCTCCTTCTCCCACAGAGACCTCGGCCAAAGAGGGCCTCCTGCTGTGGTGCCAGAGGAAGACCGCTCCCTACAAGAACGTCAACATCCAGAACTTTCACATCAGGTAAAACCGCACGACCCGGCACCTCTAAGGTCCAAGGTTCTTTACTGTCATTCGCATCACATGTGGTACATGAGGTGGAACGAAATTATGTACTCGGGGTCCCAGTTTCACTTAAAAATAGTAAAAATCTAAAGTATAAAAAGAAACTGTATACAAGGATCTAAGATATACGCTAAGCACTAATGTAAACTAATACGGTGCATTAAACAGCAGCCTGAACATGAGTCTGTAGTGAGCAGATAGGTATGAATACAGCAGCATGAAGGCCAGAGGTATATCGGTTTATATATAGGTTTAGTGTAAGCGGTCGTAGTGAGTGGAAGTTAAAGATGTGAGTATCTGGTCCCTTCCTGGTCATGGTTGTGGTTGTGGTCTTTCTGCAGGACTGAGTGCAGCTCAACCTGCGTCACAGGAAGCTTTGACACCTCCGTGTTGAATTATTGAGAGCAGACCTGCTCAGATGTGGATGAAAGCTGGAGTGAGACTGAAAGGTGGAGTTGAGGTCATTTCAGTAGAAGGGAAAGGGTGAGCAGCAGGAGTCGGGGGGGGGGGGGGGGGGGGGGGGCTGGGCCTTTGATGTGGTCTCTGTGTGAGAGATGATGGCAGTCCACCTCCATCAGGACACCATGATCATTTACTGCAACACTTCCAGCAGCCTCTGGTGAAGGTCCGCTGATGTTCAGCAGGTTTAAAGAACCATGTTTGATCCAACCTGAGCATCAGATGGACTTAAAGAACCAACACACAGCATCAGTACCAGAACCAACAGACAGCATCAGAGCCAGTATCAGAACCAACACACAGCATCAGAACCAGCATCAGAACCAACACACAGCACCAGAACCATAACTCTTTCTCTACACAGTTTGTTGTTTGAAGACAGGTGGATCTGTCGCTCTCCAGCAGAGCTCCAGTATCTCCAGTAGGTCTGTCACAAATAACAAATTTTGCTGGGCGATTGTCTCAGAAATTATTGCGATAAACGATAATATTGTTTGAAATTTGGCAATAATTAGTAATTGTCAAATTTAAGAAGAAATGTTGTAAATTTTGTGTGTAGTACCTTTTTTGACCACTGGATGGCAGTATAAGACTGAACCGAAGGATAGATAGTGAGGGAGTGAGCATTGTGTTACTTTAAAAAAAAAATGGGAGGGAGGTCCCTTGACGTGACGTGGGCTGTCTCTTCCTGTTTTTCGGTTCTCAAAATGGCGGACGCTCGGTGTGGTTTGAGCTCTTTAGCATAGCATTTGTCACACAAAGGTTTTAATAACAATTCAGTAAAAAAAAGTTCTCAGATTTTTTTTGCAGAGAAAAACAACTTTTTACACGAAGGCACAGGTTTCAACTGTGAATTTTGGAGCTTCGACAAGACGGAGGTTTTTTTTCCCCGAAGTTGGCCTGTTAGCTTAGCTTCTCAGCTTAGCTGCTTTTAACGATCCAAAACCGTGATTTTGGACAATTAAAACAGATTTTAAAGAGAAAGGGAGGCGTCAGTGAAGAGCACCGGAGTTGAGCCTTTTGTCATCCAGTGTCTTCAGTAGAAAGAGACACGAAGAAACGATAAAGCCGATAAATGAAAATGAGGTTGATAATGTTAATGTATCATGCAATTAATTGATTTATTGTTCATCACGACAGGCCTAGTCTCCAGTTCTTATTTTTTATTTGATGTCTGACTGATTTGGGCCCTGAACACCAGAGTTGCTGTTTTACCTTTCAGCATCTCACAAGTTTGAAAATAAAGTTTATATGAAGAAAAGGGAAAAGAGAAATCTGTTTAAAATCTAAAAGAGATTAAAATGCTGCTTTTTGATAATCAAACAGCTCAGGGATTAAAGTCGCCTTCTGTTTGTTTAACCTTCTGATTCCTGATCTGTGATGTTTTCTCCGTCAGCTGGAAGGACGGTCTGGGTTTCTGCGCCCTCATCCATCGACATCGACCAGAGCTCATCGACTACGGAAAGCTGCGTAAGGTGAGTCGTCCCAAACTGACTTGAGCTTCTGTCCTAAAGGTTTTACCCAAATGAAAGAAATTAAACGCAGCTTAGTTCCTGTCAACTCGTGCAGCCTGTCGTAGTTTCATGTAGAACTCTGCTGGTCCACAGGATGATCCCATGACCAACCTGAACACGGCCTTCGACGTAGCGGAGAAGTACCTGGACATTCCCAAAATGCTGGATGCAGAAGGTGAGGGCGGGGCGTCACACCTGACGTAGTGAAATGAAAATGCACCACATGTGCTGGAAGTCCAAACACAGCTCTTCCAAAATCCTGTTATGATGAAAATTATCTTCATTCACGTCTTCCTCTAACATGAATCCTCTCTGACGTCACTGTGGGACTTCAGACGTTGCTGCTGTTTGTCTAAATTCAAATTACCGTCACATCTGGACGGTTTATTTTTCTTTCCTCAGTAATGTTTATTTGATGACCTCTACTTCCTGTTCCTTCGTCCAACGTCTCTGACCCTCTCTCGACCCGTCGTCCTCCCTGACCCCGTCTTCTTCCCACAGACATTGTAGGCACGGCCCGTCCGGACGAGAAGGCCATCATGACCTACGTCTCTAGCTTCTACCACGCCTTCTCAGGAGCACAGAAGGTATCCTGGGCCAGCGTCCTCCTCCTGCCTTTCCTCTGTCTGCTAACAGTTTTCCTCTCTCTGCAGTGCACGACGCTCCCTACTGGGGTCTTTACTTTCTGCACGCCACCAAACATGCATGATGACACAGAACGTGTTCTTAAAGGCAGTGAGCACAAGTGTCTCCAGTCTCCTGCGCTGTTAACGTAGACCGTCAGTCATCCAGGACATTTAAAAAAACAAAAATCCTAAAATCTAGGATCAAGCTACACCTGTGCAGGCTGACGTCAACTAGGTTTGGCAGCCATATTGGATTGGGTTGAGTCCAGAAATAGACATCTGTAGGTGAACATTTTGCTAACAGACGGGGTTAACTCCTACAGTTGAAGCAAAGATCTCGTGCGATGTTCACGTTGGGTAGCGGGAGTCGATGAACCCAGATCATTCACGTGTTGAAAGATGAAACCTTCGTCCTGAGGAGTTGGACCGCAGCTGAACTCTCAGATTACACGTGTGGAAACTTACTGCTGCTTTAACTGACAAATATTAGAATAAAACTTTAGAACCCAGGAGAAGCAGCTCAATGATCCTCAGAGTGTTCTCTTTGGGCTCTCACCTCCTCTGAGACAGGGTTCAGGGCGACTGGAGGCCACTTGTGACTCATGGTTTGGGTCCCTGCTGTCCCTTTATGTCTCTGCACACTTTTACTCTGCATTTCTCTCCTGTCTGTCCTGTCCCCTGTCCCCTTTCCTCTGTTCCATGGTCAGACATCATTAGCACCTTGAGGCCAGATGAGAAGGCCGTCATGACTTATGTGTCGTGTTACTACCACGCGTTCTCTGGCAAGCAGAAGGTGAGAAACACGTCCCAGTGCTCAGACACGTAGCTGCTGAAACAGCCTCGGGTTCATGTTCTTTTTGTTGCTGCTATGCGAGTTTGATCCATCCATCCATCCATCCATCATCTTCCTCTTGTTCCGAAGTCAGGTCTCAGGGGCAGCATCTTGAGCAGGGAGGTCCAGACATCTCTCTCCATAGCCATCTCTTCTAGGAGGACTCCAAGGTGTTCCCAGGCCAACTGAGAGACATAGTCTCTCCGGTGTGTCCTGGGTCTTCCCCAGGGTCTCCTCCCTGTCAGACATGCCCGAAGCACCTCCCTAGGGAGGCGCCAAGGAAGCATCCTTACCAGATGCCCGAACCACCTCAACCGGCTCCTTTCGATGTGGAGGAGCAGTGGTTCTACTCAGAGACTCCTGATGACTGAACTTCTCACCTTATCTCTAAGGGAGAGTCCAGCTACCCTGCAGAGGAAACTCGCAGGGTTTGGTCACGGAGTTTGGTCCTGCAGCACAAAATACATCTTTATTGAAACGAGTTCAGTAAGAAACAGAAACGTTACAGAGAGGAGGGAGGAAGAGCAGTTTGTACCAACACCTTAAAAAAAAGAAAAACTCAGAGGTCACTGAAATAACTTGAGACAGGAAAAAGAAATAAAGATTTGTGTGAACCCAAAAAATGTCGACTTTTGAACTTTGTTTCTATATAAATATCTCAGAACAAACTGACAAAGGATGGTACCCTTTACCTTTACTACCAGAGACATAAGGGCTACTGTCCAGAGGTCACCGTGCTCCCCTGGACATCCTAATCCTAACATCTCCATCTTGGGGACCAGCAGGAAGTCTCCATGATGGGACTGTTCCACTCCACAGGCTAAATGTTCTAGACAAGCTGAAAAGGAGCTTCAGTTCAGCAGTTCTGAGGAGTCTGGAAGGCTAGGCCAGCTGCCTTCATAGGTTGGTCTCCTCATAGGTTGGCCTCAGCCTTCTTCTAACCTGCTCCACAGTGATGGGGGGCATGGATCAGACATGGTGACTGGTGGTGTGAAGGTGGTGGAGGAGCAAGATGGAGAACCAGAGAATTGAAGCAGTTAAAGCTGTTTTAGTTTAAGTTCTCCTCAACGGTCCCTCCACTGGAGAGTTTCTCTTCCTGCTTTTCTGAAACTTGGTGAGAAGGACCTTCAGGACCAACTTACCTTCACTGTCTGAAAGGACACCGATGTCCTGTCTGGACCTTCACTGTCTAAAAAGACACCAATGTCTTGTCTGGACCTTCACTGTCTGAAAGGACATGAATGTCCCGTCTGGACCTTCACTGTCTGAAAGGACACTGATGTCCTGTCTGGACCTTCACCTTCTGAAAGGACATGAATGTCCTGTCTGGACCTTCACTGTCTGAAAGGACATAAATGTCCTGTCTGGACCTTCACCGTCTGAAAGGACGCTGATGTCCTGTCTGGACCTTCACCGTCTGAAAGGACATGAATGTCCTGTCTGGACCTTCACTGTCTGAAAGGACATAAATGTCCTGTCTGGACCTTCACCGTCTGAAAGGACGCTGATGTCCTGTCTGGACCTTCACTGTCTGAAAGGACACCAATGTCCTGTCTGGACCTTCACTGTCTTAAAGGACACTGATGTCCTGTCTGGACCTTCACTGTCTGAAAGGACAC